TGCATGTGGGTGTTCAGTTGTCCCAGAAAATTTGTTGAAAGGACTATTCATTGAGATGTCCCTGCACTCTTCTCAAGAGTAATTGACCAACTATAAATTCAGTTTATTTCTGCACTCTCAATTCTGGTCCATTGACCTGTGTATCTACGAATCTTCATTGCAATAGCTTTGCAGTAAGTTTTGAAACTGGGAAGTATGAGTCCTCCAAATTTGTTTTCCTTTTCCAAAATTATTTTGGCTATTTTAGATCCATTGAATTCCCTTATGAATTTTAGTGTCAACTTATCAATTTCTTGAATCAGACACATATGTTTAAACACAGCATTTTTGCCAAGGATGTAGCTCAGTGGCTCCACAACCACCTGGCAAGTGCAAGGTCCTAAGTTCAATCCTTGGTGCCAAGAAAACAAAGTAAAATGAAACAAAAATAAATATAGCATTGTTTCTCTGGTGTGAGAAACTGAAAGTGGAAATAAGGACTAATATATATAATAGATATTGGGAAATGAGAAGAAAATGTTCAGCTGAGAAGGGGAACAAGGGAAGGGTGGAGAGGGATGAAAACAAGGAACAAGAAAAAATAAAGAATAGCAGGAAAATGGAAACAAAGCTTTTGTAAATAAGGAGGAAATAAGGGGCCAAAGGGAGGGGAGAGGAACGGGAAATAAAGAAGCAAGTGCACCTGGGATTTAGCTCAGTGGTTCCACTGCCTGCCTCATAAGTACAAGGTCCCAAGTTCAATCCCTGAGTACAAAAAAAAAAAAAAAAAAAAAAAAGATATAGCACTTACAGGTACAAAATCTCTGTGATGAATGTGATCATTATGTATATCTAAAATGTACCAATAAATGTTTTGGTTAAAGAAACCCAAAAAACATGTAAATTTCTGCCAGAGAGCCAGCTGTGATTTTTTAATTTTTTTCAAGGTAGCATTGAATCCAGATGATCTGAGAGAACATCACCACCTTCACAGTATTGTCTTCTAACCTGTGAACGTGAGCTGCTACTCCATTTGTTTAGATTTTCATCAATTTCTTTCTATAATGTTTTGTAGCTTCAGAGTACAAACTATGTTTTTGTAGCTTTGCCTTTCTTGGTAAATTCATACTTAAATAGTTTATCTTTTGGGATGCTGTCATAAGAGAAATTGTTCATTGCTAGTAGGGGGAAGTGATTTAACTTTTAATACATGTTCAGAGCACAGCTAACTGATGTATTATGTGGAAAGAGGAGAGAGAGAGAAGGAGAGGGAGAGAAGGAGACAGAGAGAGACAGCGCACAGGGAAGCTACAAGGCTTGGACTAATCAACTCACTCTCCTCTGAAACAGGCTTAATAACACCTTGACTCACAGAACTTCCATTCTAAGTTGTAAAGGAATATAATGCCTCCAGGTGTGGTATGTACTCCTAGCACTCTGGGAAGCCAGGCAGGAGAATGGCAACTTCAAGCCCTGCCTGGAAAACTTAGCAAGACCCTGTCTCAAAATAAAAATGCTTTTTAAAAGGGCTGGAGATGTAGTTCATTGTGTAGGTCAATTCCCAGTATCACTGTGTGTGTATGTGCACACGTGTGTGTATTATGCTCCCAAAAGATAATGTGTCGGGGCCCCAGCAAAAGATAACAAGCTTTGGTAACTTCAGTATCACTCTTAGAAGCTGATTTTCACCCGATCACCGATATTAAGGTCTTTGGAGTTGAATCTTCGTGTGTTTTTACACTAAGCTCTACCCTTAGAGACAAGACAGAGTGATTGTTCCAGAACTTTGCATGCTCTGCTCATGTTCCAGTGCTTGACACACACATTTCTGAAATACTTGTTGGTATCTTCTCCTCGAGAAATCCCATCAATATTTTGTTTCTGCCAATCTGTTCCCTTCGGTCTCCCTATTACTCCAAACTCCTTAACTTGACGCTGAGGCTGTATTTTCCTCTCCTCTCTTAACGCCTCTCAGACCTCCTGATCCATATGTATATACGCCAACCACAGGCTAATAACGTGCACCTTTTCAAAGGCATGTTTGACATTTACAAGAGCACGGTTGAAAACGAAGAACGGAGAGGAAAGACGCCGGGAGGTCGCCCTTCCCATCCCCTCTGCAAGCCCAGTTCTCAAGCCAGCACCCTCGGTTCGCCCCGCGGGGAACAGATCTGGCAGGCCCCCCACTGCCCCGGCACCGGCAGTGTTCCTCCGTAGCCTCGCTCCTCGCCTGCCCAGCATCCAGCCGGGCAGTAGCCATTCTCCAGGCGCTCGAGGTGGCCAGAAGCGCTGTGTTAGACTTGGAGACAGGGCCGCAGGACAGGGTGCGGGAAGGCAGAGGGGCAGTTTGACAGCCAGGCAATGACAGTAACTGTGAGATCCGAACAAACTCATTTTTACTCATCTCAGTGGTAAACTGGTCTACGGATACCAGCTTGACGGCTTTTAAACTTTGAAACTTTTTTGACAGGAAGCCACCCCCCACACACACACCCGTCAGGGATACACGTGCTTACATTACGATGAGGACGAGGTGCTGTTGTCTCTCACACGCCCTGAAACAAAGGCCATGAACCAAAATCCAAGGATGCTGTTTTTTAAATATTAGTTTAGCTCATTTAGAAAACAATGGTTATGGCGGGGGGGATATAGCTCAGTGGCGCCAAGCCTGCCTGGCAAACTCAAGGTCCTCAGTTCGATCCCCAGCACTAAAAATAGATAGATAGATAGATAGATAGATAGATAGATAGATATCACACTGGAGGTGGAGCTAAAAAGAATTAAGATGTGCTAAGTACATGCCCTATCTTGAATTCTGCTGGCAAGTGTAGAGGATAAATTAAAAAAACAAAAATTACCAGTAAAAAAACGTCTAGTTTCTTCTGCCACCTTGGGGTTCTCAGCTCCAGTGCATTTTTCCCGTAAAGCCCGCCCAGTACACTAGCTCCCGAAAACCTTCATTTCACCATGTTACTTCCTCTCCCGAAGTACCCTTATCTGAAGTCATTTACGTATTTGCATGTTTATTGCTTGCTGTCATCCTTGATTTTGAGGGCAAGAATCTTATCCATGGGCCGGGGATTTAGCTCAGTGGTTCCGTGCCTGCGTGGCAAGCGCAAGAACCGGAGTTCAATCCCTGGTACAAAATCAATCAATCAATCAGTCAATCAATCTTGCTGATAATCTGTATTTCTGATAGAAGCAGTGCCTAGCACATAATGCAATAGTTCTTGAATGAAAGAATGATTACAGGAAGGAAGACGACAATGTACTCAAATATAAATATAGCCAATCCCTTACAGATTTTTTAAAAGGTGTAGATAATACGGCTTATATTTTGCCTTCTTTGTGATTTGTGAAAGCTAGATTATGTGAGAAGAAATTAACCAACAAGAAAATACTTGATTAAAGGGCTGGGCATCTGAGAGCGAGGTACCATAATTAAGGAAATCTGTTCTTTGGAGTTCTATATATATTTTGTTTCCCCTTGAGTTCTGCATCCCTCGTTAGCGTTAGCGACCAGAATACTCCCCGTAAGCCAGTGGATGGTAAATCAGCAGTATTTGAGGAATGAAAAAAAAAAACCAAGGAAATTAGGAAGATGTGCATACCAATGATGAATGAACAAACTGGCACAGGTAGTCTGCTATTCCTCCCCGGGGCAGGAGGGGGCGCCAACGCTGCATCAACCCGGCCGCCGGCAATTCTTGGCCCCTCCGGCTGACCGTCCAACGCTGCCCCCCCCCC